GGGGATGTCCTCTCCGCAATCCCTTCTCCTCCATTCTCCTCTCCGGATCTTGGGCATGCAAGCACACGCGCCCGGCGTGAGATTAAGCCACCAGGTCTGGGACTCGAACCAAGGTCGACTACATGGGAGTCCAGCGACATAGCCATTACACTAACTGCTAGTCCCACAATTTGTTAAATACTTTAATTCTATTTTCCACAGTCTTTTGGAGGTCTTCTCATTTGAGTGTGTGTGTTATACTTTCTTTTTCCATTTCTTCGTCAATGGACATAATTTAAATGTCGTTGATGGTTATCATATGGGACAGTGTTGCTCTCAACAGATATTTTTAGAATACTGGACACTTGACATTGGGCTCATTTTCTCATTTGTTTAAACATATTGTGAAAACATAGGTGCTGGCAGGTGGCATGGCGAATAAGGTGCTGAATTCCCATGTGGCCCACAACAGTTCGAGTTCTGGACCTGGCAGTTTGCTTTCTCATTTTCCCTTTCTCTCTTTCTCTCTTTCTCTCTCTCTATGTCTCTTTCTGGTCAAATTAAAATAATAATAATAATTAAAATTAAATAAAAAAAATTTAAAAAATAAATATGTTTAAGAAAAACATACTGTGAAAACACAATTTACCAGACTTAATTTCATTGTATGAGGGCATTATAATAAGCCTGAACATACCTAATGAGGCAATTAGATTTTTTTATTATCTGTACTCTGGAAAATAAAGCTACAGTAAATAAAGCTTTGTTTAGAGTCATGACAATTTTCTTAGGATAGACCTAGAAAGAGAAATTACTAGGTAAAAAGAGAAAACTCTCTTAGGGCCAGATGCTGGCTCAGCAGTAACACATGCTGTGAGTCACCCCTACATGGAGAGGTTCCTAGTTCAAGTCTGAAGGCTTCCTTGAGTACAGTGGACACACGCTCATGACTCAGGGCTGGCTGAAGCCTAGAGTTGAGTAGTGACGTCAAGACTTTATTTAGTTTGTCTGTGTGTCTCTGTCTTTCTCTGTCTGTCCCTCTTGCTCATAGGAAAAATAAATAAAACTTTTTTTTTAAAAGGTAAGATCCGACCAGCAGTTGGCGTAATGGCTATGTCACTGGACTCCCACGTAGTCGACCACGGTTCGTGTCCCAGACCCGGTGACTTAAAACTCACGCCGGGCGCGTGTGCGTGCGTGCCCAAGATCCCGAGAGGAGAATGGAGGAGAAGGGATTGCGGCGTGACCATGCCCCCGTGTGGTGATTTCTTGCTTTCTGTCTCTCTGTCTCTGTCTGTCTGGCGAGCGAAAACCTCTCAAAAAAAAAAAAAAAAAAAAGATAAGATCCTCTTGACACAGACTACTACACTGCCTTCCTGAACAGGTAGTCCCGTTACACTTCCACCTGCAAGTACTCCAAGTATCTATCTCATTGTGCCGTTGGTAACATCAAGCATCGCCTCATTCTATTTAAAAAAATGCTGATTGATATATAAAGACTATATTAAGTGGCTTAAATTTTTTATTATTTTTAATTAATTAATTTATTTTAATCTGACCAGAGACAGACAGAGTAAGGGAGAGAGAGAGAGAGAGGTGAGAAAGCAAGCCACCAGATGTGGGACTTGAACTGCGGTCTACCATATGGGAGAGTTCAGTGCCCTTAACCACCACACCACATGCCGACCCCAAGTGGCTTGAATTTTTATGTCCTTGACTGGTGGTTGTGGTAGCCATGGGGTAGACTGCCCAGATCATCTCCCTCTGAGGCCTACCCCGGCTGCCTGTGTGTGATGTACACTCTACCTGCCACCTCCTCCGCCAGGGTGGCCTCACCTGCAGTGTGCCCTTCAGGGGCAGCACACACTAGTGTCTGAATGAGGCAGAGGCATAGAGAACTGGCCATCTGGGCGACTTGGGTGGACGTAGTCACTATGGAGGGCCTGGTCAGGTCAGCGAGGGCTTTGTGGGACCTGCATCACAGGTGGACACTGCATCTGCCCAGTCACCTGCCTCCTCGTTTTTTTTTTTTTTTTTCCCCCACAAGAACAGATTCTGACTAAATATCTCACACCCAGAACAACCTCAATACCCGCTCCAGGAGAACTCAACTTGCAAAACAAATGATATTGGACATGTTCTAGCAACTTGCCTTTTTTTGTCATTGTGTTTGTGTTAAGGGAGGTTTTGAGGCTACTTTCAGGCAAGCAGTAAACAATGCTGATATCGGGCCAGTGGGTGGCCTTGAGCCTGCACTAGCATGAACAGAATAAACTAAAATCAATTCTCACATTGTACCTTCTCTAAACATGTTTCAAAAACCGCTCAGGATTTGGCTACTCTTCTGAAAATTTAGGTCGTCCAAGATAGGAATGCTCTTGAAATGAACAAACCTAAAAGTTCCTTTATTTGTGAAGAAACTCAATGAAAGTGAGACTATGGCTGTCGGGAAAGTCATGGTTATTCCAAACTTTCTGTTCCACAAACAGTGACAAAGGGGAAGACAACTTGATTTGGGATCCCCTCAAACAAGCACATCTCAGCTAAGCCTAGACTTTCCCCTTTTACAGCCTTGGTCACTGATGACCTCACGGATGCCATTATCTGTGCCAAGAAAATTGTCAAGGAGACAGAGGGGATGAACTACTGGTAAGAGCCCTTCTTTGGGGGACTTTGTCTGATAAAGATAAAACCCACAGTGCATCTTTTCATCATAGCTACAGCAGACATTGACAAACTGGCCTCCATAGAATGGTCCAACAATTTTAATGTGACCTTGTCTATACCCTGCTCCCTCAGCGTGTGGGTGTGCCCTGGATATAGTTAAAAGGATGCATGCAGGCAGAAGATATGGGATAGAGTCGGGATAATCACAGTCGCTTTCCATAGATGGTGTCCCAAGCCATGCAGGAAGATGTACTTTCTAATGTGAACTGGAAAGGGTCAATCAAATCGATATCTAAGAGAGGGACAAAAGCTCAGGTCTGCTCTAACTTAGTTAAGATTTTTGGAGGGCTATAGCAGCATTGTATGGGGAAAGAAAAGCAACAGTGAGAGATACATGGCTCTGTCTGTCCATGAGCGCTTAGAGGACATCTCTGAGACTGAGCATTCAACATGGCTTCCCTGGTTCTCACTGTCCTCCTTGCTGCCACGTTCCCAGCAACCTGGGCGGGGAACACAAATTTTCAGAGCAGAGAGTGTGTAACAGAATGATCCATCCTCACAAAAGTAGTTTACTCATTGCTAGACCTAGTAATGATTAGGATAAATTCAAGAAAAGTCTTCACCACACGAAAGGGTAGAGTCCTTGCATCTCAGAGCAATGAAAGCAAACCCTGTGGGCCCTGCAGGCCATTTCGACTGGTGATCTGACCTCAAGCCTGAGGCTGTTTGGATTGTCATGCTTCATTCTGATGTTCCTGTTTCCCTCTCCTCCTTAGGCAAGGCTGGAAGAAGAACTGTGAAGGCAAAGACGTGTCCGAGTGGAAAAAAGGATGTGAGGTTTCATGATCGGGAACCGGACCACAGATGCTTTGCGATGACTCTTTAGGATTTGTAATGAGCGTCTAAATGTTCTTGCCATCTTACCCCTTTTCCTCCCGCTATTTCTTCTCCAGGTTGGAGAGGGGAAACTAAACTATACTTTTAAGTAAATAAATATTTCCATTTAAAAGTTCTCACTCTGACTCAGTTTCCATAACAATAAAACTTTAAAAATCACCTCCAAGGGACCAACAGATGGCACAGTGGTTACATTACTGGACTCCCACGTGCTTGACCATGGTTCAAATCCCAGACCGGGTGGCTTACATTCATGCCAAGGGCGTGTGCCTGAGTGCCCCAGATTCCAAGAGGAGAATGGAAGGGAGAGGACTGCTGCATGGCCATAGCCCCTGGGGGGGGTGATTTCTCACTTTCTGTCTCTCTGGTCGAGTGCACACACCCTATAGTGAAAATCTATTAAAAAAAAAAAAAAAGTCCCCTCCAAAATGTTCTAGCTGTGAAAGGAACAAATTTCCCATCTTCATTGTGAAGAGTTCTGGCTCCTGTGGTCCTGAAACAGCTGCTTATTACAAATAAGGTTCCCAGCTGAAGAGCACCAGGTGAGCACCCTTAATGGCTTTCAAGTCATGGCAACCGCCATCATGGAGCACGAGGCTGTTCTCCTTAGGTCAGGTCTGCAGACCCACAGCTCCTCCTCAGCATGGCACTGCCAGGGAGAATGTTCCAGCTTCCTCAGGGGATCCTGATGGGCACTGGACTGCGATCAGTTAGATGAAATTGCAGCTCTTACCTCCAGGAGTTCATGCTATCCCAAGGTCCCTGTAAATTAGACCTATTGAATTCAACAAACACATTTCTATGACAGTGTTCAGCCTTAGACCTGAACAGCTTATAATTTGTCCAGGAATCTGATGACCATCCAAAAAATGCCTGATGATGATGATGATGATGATGATGATGATGATTGAGAGGTTTTTGCTATAGGGACCGTGCAATCACCTGAAAGACAGACAGAAACAGAGAGACAGAAAGCGAGAAATCACTTCCCGGGGGGATGGCCATGCTGCAATCCCTTCTCCATTCTCCTCTCGGGATCTTGGGCACGCATGCACACGCACCCGGCATGAGTTTAAGCCACCAGATTCAGGACTCAAACCATGGTCGACTACAGGGGAGGGAAGTCCAGCGACATAGCCATTATGCTAACTGCTGATCCCAAGAATGTCTGATTGCATAGAGCAGTAGGTTGAGGATTTCAGACCCAAAAATGTATTCCCAGCATGACTTCTGCTCCACGCAGGGATGCTGCCCTCTACCAGCCCACACAGCTGGGGCCTCTCTTGTAAGATCCCTGTTCACACGTCTCTATGCTGTGGTTTGATGGTGCCTTGTTCTAAATTTAGGTGAAGCTAGTTGGCCCAAGTTGAATGCAATCCAACCTACAGCATATACTACACTGGGGTTTGTTGGAGAACTGATTTTGCCAATGACTAAGTTTCCTGCTTAGAAGGAAAGTCTCCACTGATCAGACTGATGGATACTGTGATTGTACCTAAAGAACCTTAAGCGCTGTCTTGTTGCCAACTGCCCAGTTTCACTGTTGATTCATGCCATGCCCATTGGCCTCGCTTACATGCACAGGCTCTAACGAATCTTAACTGCTACTTGCCAAAACAAATAATACTAATAAACACGTTCTGAATGTCTAAACAACCATATAATCCTGGGACAATTTAACAAGCATTACAAAACATGAGAAAAAGCTTTTGAAACTCATATAAAAATTGAAAACATTCTGTAAGATGACTGAAGAAAATTCGAAAAACGTAGACTCCATTAAGCCGTACTAAATCAATAATCGGTGTTTAGAGACGTCCATAAATGTGCATTTTCATCATGATTGTCCTGTCATCCATCTGCCTTTGCCGTCCACGTTCTTAGCCAAACCTCCTACTTCATTAAAACCAGTGGCACCAAGTTAATGAGCTAGGTTGGCATAGACCTGGCGCCAGCCATTCAAAGACAAGATTTAAAAGAAAAAATAACAACAACAACAACAACAAACTCCAAAACTGAGCACTTTGAAATTCAAGGTAAAAGGGAATTGGCTGACTCTACAAATCCATTGCTCTATCTCTTTGCAAAACTCTTAACATTTCTCAGCACACAATTGTACTACTTCCCTCCCCAAAAGTTTCATTTATTTAGTCTTATAAATAATAATTAAGGATGAAAAAATGCATTTTTTTTCCTGGATGATTTTCTACACTTAATACCCTAAGTAATTCAAATGGAAATGACTACTTTCATTCCTGATTTATCTTTATTTAACAAAAGTATATTAACATAACAACCCATATTTATCTTCCCTTTTAGAGTTTCCAAGCCATTTGGAAATAGGCTGTCCTCTTCATTTTCTCCTATGAGCAGCACACCAACTACACTGAGCAAAACAGCTGGATATGAGAGTGTAGAGATCAGCTTAAGTCTACATCTTTTTCTTTGGGGACTTAATTTTGCCTGACTCATGGGATGCCCACCCTAGAATCTGTCCCTTTGAATCCCAACTTATCCTCCATTGTTCTTCAGTGCTTTCTGCTCTGGTCCACCATGTTTTCTTGAGGCCTCCTGAACCCAGTACAACATTTCCCCTTGGGTGCTTTTGCTCCTGGCTTTTCCCAGTCTTGGAAAATTGTAATGCTTCCTGTACTCCATTGAAGCCTAGCCCAATCGCCATGAAACTCCCTGCTCTTGTCTCCCCAAAGGTCTTTCTCAGAACTAGTGGCTGGTGCACCACAGGATGAGGGCATCAGGGACTGGACTTCTCACCCGGTCTGTAAGCCCTCCAAGGCCTGGGTCGTGTTCTTTACTTCTGTATTTTTCAAATCCCTTTTGCAATGCTGAGTATATCATAGTTGACATTCAAAAATATTTGATGATGATTTTAAGTACCACTGGACACATGCAAAATCGTAGAAGGACAATGACTAATATATATTTTTTCAATTCAGGTTCATGTCTGTTATTTCATGTGCTCCTTGCAACAACCTGGGACATGGGGTAACATAATCTTCATTTTATGTAGATCCCAGTGATATAGAAAGGGTAACTCTGGGACCAGCAGTTGGCATAATGGCAATGTTGCTGGATTCCATGTAGTCGACCGTGGTTCAAGTTCTGGACCTGGTGGCTTAAAACTCACGCTGGGTGCGTGTGCGTGCGTGCCCAAGATCCCAAGAGGAGAATGGAGAAGGGATTGTGGTGTGGTCATTCCTCCTGGGGGAGTGATTTCTCACTTTCTGTCTCTCTGTTTCTCTCTGTCTTTCTGGTGAGTGCACATGCCCTATACAAAAAACCTCTCCAAAGAAAAGAGAGGAGAGAGAGAAGAGAAGAGAAGAGAAGAGAAGAGAAGAGAAGAGAAGAGAAGAGAAGAGAAGAGAAAATAAAGAAAGAAAAAAAGAAAGAAAGGGTAACTCTCCAAGGCTCTCAGTGTGACAACGGGAAAACCTGTTGCCCTATGGAAGTTTTCAGAACTCAGTGAAGGAGCTTGGCCCAGGGCCATTGGGGGTAGGGTGTGTCTGAACCCCTTCTCTGTGTCTAACTCAGCTATTTCCTGAGTCCCTCAAGGATGGCACCAACCCTAGTCAGTAGATGAACTATCTGTAGGGACAAGGGACAATGTAATCTCTTCAATGTAAATCCACTTTATTTTTTAGTGTAAAAAATTCAAAACATGAAATTTACTTCTTTCAACACAGGCCAAGGGACCCACTCCAGGCCTACCCCTCAGGACCCTCCACCACTGTGTCCTCCTGCCAGGCTGTGAGGCCTGGTCTTCTCCGAACACCTCTGGGCTGGAGAGCACGGGTGGCTTGCGGAAGCACTAATCTGGGCATGGCCATCACCAGGGACGGCCGCCACACGGGGCATCATGCTGCTTGCACTTCTGTGTGTGCAATGATGTCACGGGATGGGAATTCACAGAGCCAGTTTGCAAAGGAGCTGCCCCAGGGAGAGCTTAGGATCTGATGAGAGGAACTCTGAGTGTCACAGAAGCATCTGGACCAAGGTGTGGCTCCTTTAGGGACTGAAGGCAGCTACTCAACACTCTGACTTGAAGAGGTGATTCTCTCCTTCCCTCATTTTCCTTCCCTCTCTTACCCAGCTCCTCAAGCACAGGAGACTGGGAAAGAGGGGGCACTCAGAGAGTGTATTTTGTTTTTTTAAAGAATTACTTTATTTAACTTTATTTCCTTAATTATTTATTTATTTTAATTTGATCAGAGAGGGACAGAGCAAGAGCGAGAGTGAGAAAGAGAGGGAAAGTGAGAAAGGAGAAAACAAGCTACCTGGTCTGGGACTCGACCCATGGTCGGCCATGTGGGAGTCCAGCACCCTTAACCACCATGCCACCTGCTGGCCCCACTCAGAGAGTGTTTTAGACCACCAATTCAGCAAGCACACAGATTTAAGCTGATCCTCCCTAAGCAGAAAGAGAAGAGAAAATAGAAGATCAGAAACTAAGACACAGTCTCACCGGAGAGCCAGCAGGGGGAGGACCGACAAAGAATGTTCCTTTCCTTGCATGAGGATGTACCTTGAAGAGGGTGTACCAGGGGGTCTTTAAGAAGTTTATGGAAAATGCATAGTATGAAAAAACTGTGCATTGGGACCAGCAGATAGCACGATGGTTGGGTCTCTGAACTCCCACATGGCTGACTGTGGTTCAAGTTCCAGACCTAGAGGCCGGGCATATGTGCATGTGTGCCCAAAATCCCAAGAGGAGAATGGAGGAGACAGGATTGTGGCGTGACCAACCCCCCCGGGGGGGGGGTGATTTTTCACTTTATATCTCTTCCTGTCTCTAGTGAGCACACAGACCCTATAGCAAAAATCTCTCTCAAAAAAAAAAAATTGTGCATGGATTTCAAAATTTTTCCCAACAAAATAAACTTATACTTTAATTCCATTTTTCACTAACTTTTTGAGTTCCCCCTGAATATTAAACTTCTCTGTTTCGCCACTCATAAAATGGTAAAAAGAATATTTGCCACACACAATTACGATCAAACCTAGCAACAGTATCAGAAGCACGTGATATAAGCTAGATTT